AGAGGTGCTAAATCATGAGGAGTGGCAGTCGTCAGACAGCTATTTCATCCCTCACCAAGCGATAATACGTCCGGACAGTCTAACGACAAAACTTAGAGTCGTTTTCGATGCGTCAGCAAAAACTACAAGCGATACGTCTCTAAATGATAACCTTATGCCGGGACCCAATTTTCAGCAGGATTTACAAAAGATCGCAATCAGATTTAGAACACATCAATACGTATTAACTGCAGATATAGCAATGATGTTTCGACAGATTTTCGTGGATCTGCGAGACCGCCGATTCCAACTCGTCTTGTGGAGGACCGATCAAAACCAGCCGATTAAAGTTTTTCAACTAAACACCGTCACATATGGTACGGTTTGTGCTCCATTTGTAGTCATGCGATGTCTGAGAGAGTTGGCCAGGATATACAGCAACGAATTCCCTCGAGCAACAGAGGTAATATTAGAGGACTTGTACATGGACGATTTTCTAACCGAAGGCCCGACGTTCAAATATGTAAACAAACTGCAAAAGGAGTTATCAGAACTTCTCATGCGCGGACAATTCCCACTGAGAAAATGGAGGTCGAACGATCCACGAGCCATACAACACATTAAGGAAAATAATACAGAAGACAACTTACTCATTATCGATAAGAAGGAACCCCTCAAAACATTGGGGCTTTTCTGGAACGCAGCTCCTGATGAGTTGCAATACAAAGTAGACGTGTGGGAGACTAGCACAAAAAGAGATGTGCTCTCTAAGATAACGCAGATTTACGATCCTCTCGGTTTAATTGGTTTAATCCGATACTCATCACCGGCAAACTCATAGTGCAGCAATTATGGAAATCAGAAATAAATTGGGATCAAGAACTGCCCGTCGATCTCAAAACCGCTTGGGATAAATATTACGAATCTCTATCAAGCATCCGCGAACTCAAGATATCTAGAAACGTTAATCTAAATAATCACGCAAACATGATTGAGCTATATGGTTTCGATAACGCTTCAGAATGTGCGTTTGGAGCGTGCATCTATGCAGTTAGTACCAATCATCAAGGTAGTATTCAGTCGCATTTGATCTGTGCCAAATCGAAAGTGGCACCACTAAAAACTATATTCTTACCACGACTAGAGTTAGAAGCAACTCTATTTCTCGCACAATTGTACAACACAGTTAGAGCAGCTTGCAGAAACAAAATCAGCAAGGTGCGACTATGGAGCGACAACACGATCACCCTAGGATGGATTCAGAAGCAACCATGCGACCTCAAGACATTCGTCGCTAACAGAGTGACGAAGATTCAGAACCTCACAGAAGAGGCTCTGTGGCAGCACGTACCATCAGAAGAGAACCCGGCTGATCTTCTATCAAGAGGGGTGTCAGTCGAGAATTTACAGGAAAACGACCTCTGGTGGCATGGTCCACATTGGTTAAGAAGCTCAAGTCCACGACCAGCCGCAAGTTTGGAATCCGATAACGATTTACCAGAGTTGAAGGCAGCACCAATAATTTTAACGGTAACTACAAGCTTGGAAATACTGACGAGATATTCATTTTATAGTAAGTTATGCAGAGTAGTAGCATATTGTCATCGGTACAGATGAAATCGAAGAAATGAAAAGAAAATGACAGTCGCAAAATTCGTCCAACTTGAAGCGTTCCCAGAAGAATTACGATGTTTGCACGATCGGAGATCGCTACCACGCAAAAGTAAATTAATCGCCTTGAACCCCTTCATAGATGAAGAGGGATTGATACGCGTAGGAGGCAGAATTAGACATGCCAAAATTGCACTATGTTAGAAGCATCCGATCGTTTTACCTGCCAAACACCACGTGACGACATTGATAATGAAGGAGCGACACGAACGACTTCTTCATTGTCCACCAGAGCAGCTTTTACACGACATCCGGCAATGGTTCTGGTCCATTAGTGGACAAAGAGAAACCCGTAAGGTCGTTACAAGATGCATTAAATGTTTTCGCTTCAAGCCAACAACTCCTGAAGTGATAATGGGAGATGTACCAGCCGAACGAATCAAGGGATTTTCACGTCCATTCACTACAACTAGCGTTGATTATGCCGGTCCTTTCTAAATTTGGGAAAGTAAGCGGCGCGGAAGAGTGCATAAAAGTAAAGGATATGTTGTTGTATTCACCTGCTTTAGCACAAAGGCCGTGCACCTAGAGATGGTGACGGACCTTACTACAGAAACATTCCTCGCAGCATTAAATCGCTTCACCGCACGAAGAGGACTCTGTGCTCAACTACATTCCGATAATGGAACTAATTTTGTGGGAGCCGCACGAAAGTTCGAGGAGATCTATAAATTCCTAGCGAAACAACAATCGGAAATTGAGAC